CACTCACCCAGAGGGGCCGGGACTTGCGGGGGGCATCCCAGTCAGTGCTAGAGGGGCTTAGCATCCCCCTGTGTGTCCAGCGTGAGGACCCCACGTGGTGCAGACCCCTGAAACTGCGTGGGGGAGCACACAGCTCTGCTCAGGCAGCTTCTGGGGCCCCCGTGACCCCCGTGACCCCATGTCCCTCCCTGCAGGAGCTGCCGGTCCTGTGGTTCCGCTCACCCATCTCCCCGCTCAGCTGCTGAGTTCTCGCGATGTTGGCTGTGGTGAGGCTGGCGGCGACTGACCCAGGTTCCCAGAGAGACCCCCAGGTGGTGGGCACCCCCGACACAGGGTCGCAGAGTGGGCTCCCAGCTGGCCGCCGACCACACCGTGGGGTGGGCCTCAGCCGTCCCCAGCAGCGCTGCCCCAGGACACAGCCACGGCCAGCAGGTGGCACGGAACCCGGCAGAGACCGAGCCTTCCCTGGAAGGACCCTGGGGCAGCCGAGGAGCTGCAGGGAGACTGCCACCGGCAGGCGGGCTGGAGGGCGTCTGAGCGACCGTGGTCACCGTGAGCTCCCCGGGCCCAGGGGCCTCTTCCCCCCTGCAGAGCCCCCTCCCTGCCTGCCGCTGGCTGCTCTTCTGGGCCTTGAATGCCTCATCTGTAGGATGGGCGCAAACCTGTGCTGGCAGGAGGCTGCTCTGGACACCTGCCAGGGCTGTGTTTTTCTGGAAGCTTCTGGGACAGCGCTGGTCTCACAGGAGGGGAAGGAGGCCCCAGACAAATCCCCGGCCGCTCCATGCACCTGCAGCTCTCAGTCACCAGGACCCACGTCCTGTCCACGCTTGGGGACAGGCGAGAGCAACAGCACTGTCACACAGGCACGTCCTGCACATGTCACACGCCATGCACCGTGTGTGCACATGTGTGCCTGTGTGTGTGCATGGGGGAGCACGCAGAGGGAGAGGAGGTTCTCACTCCCTCCTCTTCACACGCCTGGCCCGGTCCCCCGGCCCTCCTGTGGGGGACACCTTGGCTCCACTCCGCAGAGGAGCCGGCTGGGGGTGGAGCCGCACCTGGAGCCCTTGGTCCACTGGTCAGCAAGGTCTAAGCCCAGGGACCTTGAATTGCGGGTGGACAGTGCGTGAGGACCTTGCTGCTCAGCCGGGACGTGACGCCCAGGGTTACACAGGAACACACAGGCCGCACGGCTCTGCCATTCCCCAAAGGAGTGGGGCTGTGGGGGACGCGGGAGCTGGACGCAGGTGCCCAGGAGTGGCCACTGTGGCCCTCACCAGCACCCGCCCGGAGCCAGGGGTCAACCCCGGGATGCCCCCTGGTCAGCACCCACAGGGGCCAGCAGGGCGACCAGGCAGTGTGCTGCACCCAGCTCTGTGAGGGTTCAAGGTTTGGGTCCCTTCTTCCTGGCAAGTGAGTGGGCGCCCCCACGGCCATGGGTGGGTCCCTGCAGACGGCATTCCCCAGCCACCCCGGGCAGGGACACGGCCGAGCTCCGCCCCACACCCAGCATGGACGCCCCTGCAGCTGTCCCCGTCCGTCCAGCACCCCCAGACCGCAGGCTGGCAGGGTGGACCGTGTGCCCACTGCCACTCTCCCACTTCCTCCAGACTGCAGGGTGGGGGGTCTGCTCTGGCCCTGGCTGGGGTGGGGTCTCTGCCACACTGGGGGTCCCACTGGGACTGGGCCCCCGGGCAGCCTTGTCCTGGAAGACTGTGAAGGAGACCTGAGGTGGGGCTCTCCCTCCACCCCTGCCGGTTACCGGTCCCCAAATCTCGGCTCTCACAGGCCCCGCCTTGGTATCCACAAACTGGGGGACACAGGTGGCCTCCCCCAGCCTGGCCAGAGCGCAGGGCCAAGGACAAACACCAACTGCGGGATTGCCCAGGGGGGCGTGGCCAGGGCTGCCAAGCCCCCTGAAGGCAGGTCTCTGTCCCAGGCAGGCCCCACTGTCAGCTCCAACTGTTCCTAAGGAGACCCTCCCCACCTTCCCCAAAGCCTCAGCCCTGGACGGGGCTCAGCTCAGCTCCATGGGGGAGCTGAGGCCGGGAGGAGAGCAGGCCCCGCGGGCAGGCGGGGCCCTGGCTGTGTCCCCCTCCCCAACCATAGGAAGTGCCCCCGGGGGACAAGAGGCTCCCTGGAAACTGGGGTCCCGGGGCTGTCTCCAGGGACAGCCCAGCCTTTGCTTCCTCCCTCTGTGGGTCCCGGGCAGGACAGAGCAGGTGGGCCAGGCCTGGGATGGTGCCTGCGGCTCTGGCTGAGCCCCAGGACAGAGCTGTGCTACAAGAGGGCCCCCAGCTCCCCCTCCCCAGGCGCCAGGGCTCCGTGGCCCTCCCAGACCTGTCCTGGGCGGGGTTTCTGGCTGAGCCGGCTGAGGAGGCTTCTGCACCCCCACCCCCTCCTGGCAGCAGGTGCTTTGGGCGCAGGACAGGAAGGGCGGTGTGCAGTGGAGGCTGCATTCCCCCAGACAAAGCCCCAGACACGGGAGGGGACCGTCCTGGGGCATACGGACACCAGGGCAGGTGCAGCGTCCCCAAGGCTTAGTTTGGCCTCGCCTGGGGCTGGAGCCAGCATGGCTGGGGTGGCCCGAGGCCCTGCTCTGTCCCTGGCCTCCCTCTGCCCACGCTGGCCTCTGGTCTGTTCTGCAGGCCCCTGGTTCCCTCCCACCACACACCAGGTGCAGGCTGTCCTCACTCCCAGAGAGTGCCCGCTCCTGTGACCAGGGGCCCCCCGAGAGAGCCTCTGCCTCCCCAGTCACCCTCTCTCTGCGGCCCCACAGGCCCAGGGGCGGCAGCGTCCAGGAGCCCACTGTAGCCTGGTATGAGGGATGGGGTCTGGTGGGCCAGAGGGCAGCCCCGGGGCCTCTCTGGGGAGACCCGCGGCGGGCTGCTGGCCGTGGCTGAGGTGCTCCCCTGTAGCGCTTGGTGGAGGCCCCGGGGCCCAGTGCTCAGAGGGGACACCCAGCACCTCCTGCTGGCTTGGGCGAAGCAGCGGGGACCGGGGCCTGTGCCACAGCTCTCTGCGCACACCCCCTCCTGAGCCGAGCTCCGCTAATGGAAACCTGGTGATCCGTGACCCGCGTGTGGCAGACACCTGCTGGGGGTAGCAGGCAGGAAGTGGGTGCCGCTGATCAATCAGCAGATTTGCAAGAGAGGCATAAAGCGTTTAATTACGCCCGCGTCGGGCCCATGTGCGCGGGGTGGGGGGGCGGACTCCGAATAGGTCACGGCGCGACGTTGTGGGTATTACACGCCACTCACTCCAGGTGCTGTGGAGTCGCAGGTACTGCGCTGGCAAATTGGAAATGTCCCTTCGCTCTGAAGGCATGATTGATAGCCTCTGCAAAGCCAATGCCACACCTCGCCGTGCACGGAGGCGCCCAGACAGGGCCCCGCGTGGGCAGAGGGTTCTTCCGTTCCAAGCCAGGCTTCAGGAAGAAGGCAGAAGCCCAAAGGACAAAACGCACGTTTTCTCGCTCTCTCTGTATGTGTGTGCGTCTGGCACCAGCCAGTCCTCATGGCTGTGCACAACTCAAGCAGCTTCAGGCACAGCTGGCGAAAGAATCGGGTGCCAGGATTGCCGGCACCTGACACAGCCACACACCTGTGCGCCAGGCTGCTCCTGGTGGAGCCAGCCGGGAGGGGTTGTAGCCCCGGCGCCTCCCGCCCTGTAGTTGGACCCCAAGGGCACAGGAGTGCAGCAGGTGTACCCCCCGGGTTGGGGGGCGGCACGGTGCCAGCCCCTGCCAGCTGCCGAGGAGGGGTCCACAGCCCCGCCTCACAGCTGCCGTGGGGAGAGGGCGCCTGGCCGGGCTCTCCACCCCCTGCCAGGCCTGGCGGCACAGGTGCTTTGTGGCATGTGCTGGAGCAGCACGGGGAACATGACCATGTGGGGCCCATTTATAGCGCTCAGGCGCAACCAGCACCAGGGCCTCGGGGGGCGCAGCCGCAGCCGGGTCTTTGCCGCGGCTGCCTGCTCCGGCCGCTGAGTGGCGATGCCAGCCAGCCGCCTCCGTGTGCCAGTCGAGGTCACCCAGCGCTCCTGGTAAGTCTGCAGAGGGGGCTGAGGGAACCAGGCTGGCCTGCGGCGTCTGGGTGCGCGGCGGCGTCTTCTAGAGCGCCCTTCTCATTAGGTTAAGTTCCGCCCAGGGAGCAACCCCGCCCATCACAGCTGTGCTCCCTGCACAGTGGGGGTTCATCGACCACCCGTGCCAAAGAGGGGCTCGGTCCCCACTCAGAGGACCCTGGGGGGTTGCCCCGGCCCCTCCTCCGACCCTCTGCACAGAGCGCACCGGGGCCCTGAACCAGCACCCAACACGGCCACTTCCGGTCGCTTCCCGGCAATGCTGCCACGCCGGGGTCACTGCACTTTATTGTTATTGTCACGGTCGCCGTTGTTGTTGACTCCCAGAAGCTGACGGGGAACTGAAGGAGGCCACTGTCATAGTGACCAGGGATGGAACGGGGACCTGAACTCTGGGGGCCCCGCCTGGGGGCTTCTGTTCCTCACGGAGGGGGGCACCCACTGCAGGCCTGGAGGAGCCCGCAGGTGCCCCGGGAGAGGGTCTGAGAAGGGGGGCACCGGAAGCTCAGCCTGGGGGAGGGGCTGCCGGCCACGCCTCACGCTGCCCAGAAGTGGAGGTTCAGGGGCCGCGCCTCGGGCCTGGGGCCGGGGGAGGACAAGATGGACTCGATGCTGAACTTGATGTCCTTGGGCCCCTGCTGCCCCGGCGCGTTGGAGCCGGCGGGCGCTGGGGCCTCGCGGCAGGCGCCGTCACGGTCGTTCGGGACTGGGGACCCCCGTGCCGCTGCCGGGGGTCCCTCGGCGCCTCCAGTGCGCTTGGGTCCGCGCCGCCGGCGGCGCCGCCGGTAGTCGCCATTCTCGAACAGGTCCAGCAGCGACTCGCAGCCGTCGGCGAACGTCCAGTAGCTGCCCTTGCCCTTGGCGTGGCCGTCGGCGCGCGGCACCTGTGCGGAGGCGGGGTCAGCGCCGGCTGCGCTGCGGGGGGCGGGGGCGGGGGCGCGGCCTCCCCCGTGACCCCGCGCTCGGCCGCCGGGGCCCACCTTGACGAAGCAGCTGTTGAGCGACAGGTTGTGGCGGACGGAGTTCTGCCAGGCGCGCTGGTGCGCGCGGTAGTAGGGGAACTCGCGCGTGATGAAGTCGTAGATGCCGGCCAGCGTCACCCTGCGCGCGGGGCTGTGCTGGATGGCCATGGCGATGAGCGCGATGTAGCTGCAAACCGGGGCGTCAGCGGGGCGGGGGGGGGAGGCCCGCAACTCCCCAGTGTGCGCGCAACGGGTCCCGCCCCTTCCATGAGCCCCCTCTCCCCGGCCCCAGGCGCGCGCCCCCGGCCCCTCCAGGGAGGAGAGGAGAGGGAGCCCCGCGGCTGCCCCCGGTGCGTGTGCCACCCCCGGCCCTGGCCGGCCCCGCGCTCACCTGTACGCGGGCCGCGCGAGCCGCCTGTCGTCCGCGCAGCCGGCGGGGCGGTCGTCGGCGTCGTCGTCGAAGCAGTTGTACGGGTACTGCGAGCTGTCGAACATGGTGGCGCGGCCGTCGGCTCGGGGCCAGGTCCTTGCAGCCGGGCCCGCTGTGCCCGCACTGCCGGCTGCTCAACTCCGCGAGCGGGGAACGGGGTCTGGGGTCGCCCGCCCGCCCCTTCCCGGTTCTCGCATCCAATCCCGATGCGGGGGAGGCCCCAGCCACCACTCGGGCTGCGCGGGGGAGAGGAGTGGGGGGCCGTCTCGGAGACCCCTGACCCGCCCAGGAAGGGGGAGGGGCCGCGGTGCTGCGAGGGCGGGGCGACCCCCTGCTCCTGCTCCTCCCGGGCTCTGGCGGGATCCCCTCGCAGCCCAGTCCTGTGCGGGGAAGCAGAGATTGTTCCCCGCACCCCGGTTCCCGGTGGACGCCGAGGGACGGCTGGGGCCGGCCACTGGGTACCGGCTGTGGGTGTCTGCCCCTGGCGTGGGCCCCGCCTCTTGCCTCCCGGAGCTGCGTCTCCCTGCTGGAGGCCCCCTGGTACGGCTCAGCGCGCCCCGCGGGTCTCCCCGCGCCGGGGCAGAAGCCACCGATCTGCGGGGCACTTCCGGCTGCAAAGGCAGCCCCTCGGCGGGGAAGGGGGCGTGCAGAAGAGAAGCGGAGGAGGAGCCGCTCTTGGAGAGTTTGGGGTGGGCATTCTCTGTGGGTCTCCTGAGCCTGCCTGGGGCCAGAGCACCCCACTCGAAAGCTTTCTCCACGAAGCTCCCCCTTGCCAGGAGCGGCCGGAGGTGCTGACTCCCCCTGAGACCACACAGTTTCCGGGAACCTGGCTCGGTGGTCAGGGACCCTCTGCAGAGAAGCCTGCAGGGTGCTGTGGGCAGCTGCCCCCGAGTCTCACTCAGCCTCCGCTATTCACACTGGGATGTTGTCCCCCCATTGGTGTTGGGTTAAAGGTGCAGGGTCCAAGGACGTGGGACAGGGCAGCTCCTCCCTGGCACAGCCACCTGGCCGCCCTGTGGACCTCCCGGTCAGGTTCACACCAGAACCTGTGCCATCCCCGGCAGGTGCCTCGCAGGTGCACAGCTGAGCACTGTGGCCCAACAATGAGGGGAGCAGGCAGTTGACGTCAGGTTGGTGTCCACCTGGAACGAGCCGATTTCAAGCCACGTGGATCCACGGAGATCCACCCAAGCTGGGCCGTCCGTCTCAGCCCAGCCCCAAGGACCACTTGGTCTCCCCCACCCCCAACCACAGCTCCCCAGATTCCAGTGGAGAGAACACAGACCCTGCCTCCCACAGGCAGGGAGTGAGGTCATCCCGTGCAGAGTGCGGTGGGACGGCCAGTGCTGTGCAGCCACCTTTGTGTCGTGAGGAGAGCAGGTGGGATGGCCAGTGCTGTGTGGTGTCTGGGAAAGGGAGCCAATACAGAGGGGGAAGACTGACAAATATTCCACTAAACATGACCGGAATCACAGAGGAGCCCTGGACTGGGACAGGGACACCCTCGCAGTTCCTGAGAGCAGTTTGGTGATGCAAGGGTGCTGCTCCCTCTGAGATCCGCCCTGCTTCTGCTTTATTAGGGAAGGAGACTGCAAGGTGCCCAGATGAGCTCACGGACCCCAGGTCCCCAGGGGGCGCTAATGCCCCGAGTCGTCCCCGTGCGGTGACAGGCAGTGAATACCTTGCACGTCACCACCGTGATGCCCAGGGAGTTAGGCTGGGTGGACAGAGGGAGCTGGTGGAGGAAGGGTGTCATGTCCTCAGCACGGCCCGGCACAGTCCCTCCTGGGCCCACTGAGGCAGGCTGGGCCCCATGTGGCCCCTGCAGCAGCGGGAGGGAAGCCAAGGCTGGCAGGTGTGCCCGGGGCTCCAGGGAGGGGCATGCTGGGCACTGGCGCCCCAGGCTCCTCCCCTGGACCTGGTGCTCATCAGGGCAGTGGAGCAGGGATGGGCTAGAATCGCGGCCTGCACCTGCCCATCTGGGACCAGGTCTCCTCCGTCCCCTACAGGACAAAGCCCGGGTTCTAGAAACGGGCACAAGGCTGCTGGGTCACAGGTCACACGGGGACAGGAAGTGTGTGGGGAGCCCAGAGTGGGCGTGGTTCTCCCCTGCCGAGGGAGGGGACCACCAAGGGGGCACACCCACAAGACCCTGGGACGTGAGAGCTCACTGAGCAGGAGCAACGGCAAACGCTGGACCCCTCCCCACCAGAGCTCCAGGTGTGCACGTGGGGGCAGGGCCCTCCCGGGAACCCAGGAAAGGAGGTAGATCTGGAGTGGAATGAGCAGACAGGAGAGGACCCGTGGCGAGCCGCCCCACCCGGCTACAGCCAGGCCCTGTACTCGACCCACTCCTGGGCACACAAACTGCACACCTGCTTCTCCACACCTTGGCCAGGATCTTAGCCGCACCTGTGGGCAGTGAAACGGCACGAGTAACAAGGGCAAGCACTAAGCAGAACCAGACGCGCTGCGGTGCTGGGGTGCCCGGGATGGGCGGAGCCACCAGAGGAGGGGCGGGAACAGGGTGTCATCAGCAGCCCCAGTAGCCTGTGAGACTGGGTGCGACAACCTGACCCCCGAGGCTGGAGCCCAGGCACAGGGAGGGGCAGAACAGGCAGGGGAGGTGCTTGGGGGACAGCAGTGCAGGAATGACAGATGTCCAGCCACAGCTGCAAGCCCAGGGGACAGCAGGGGGAGGCACGTTCCGGGTGCAGCCTGGGGCACCTGCGTCCCACGCCCATCTTCCAACCCAGCCCCCTCTCACGTGCGCCCGGGAGGCAGCAGCTGGTGGTTCAAGTGCATGGGCCCTTGCCGCCCCCAGGAGAGACCTGGCCGGCGCTCCTGGGCCAGCCGTGGCTTTTGTGAACATATATTTTTTTAAAAGATCGGTTTGAAAGAGTTAGAGTCTCCATCTGCTGGTTCACTCTCACACTGGCCCCTTCTGTGGGCGCTCGGGGACTGAGCCAGTGGATGGAACATTTCTCGCTCTCTCTAGCTCTGCCTTTCAAATGAAGAGGATAAATCATAAAAAATGGGAGCTGAAGCCGAGCCACAGGCAAAGGATTCATGGGCAGCAGGGCCCCACCTACAGCTGACCCCACGGGGCACCAGCACCATAGCCCCCTGGACTGCGCCTGCAGGCCACCGGGGAGGGTCAGCTTCCCTGGCCACGCCCCGCGTTCTCGAAGCTTCCTGGCAGGGGCCTCTGGGTGCGCTTGCCCGAGACGGGGACTGCGAGGCCGAGGCGGGGCTCTTCGTGCAGCCCCCAGCAGGTGGCGCCCCTCTGCAGGCACAGGACCCTCGCCCTAGAAGCCTCTGTCTCTGTCTCCACCCCACACCCTGCTGCTCTGCTGTGTGCCAGCCCTGACGGATCCAGAACCAGCCCAGGCCCTGGGGCACAGCCACACCTGCTCCGTGCACGCACTGCGGCGCCGTCCGCACCTGGGCCGGGTGCGTGGACACAGCCTGCACAGCCTCAGGAGGTGTCCTCACTCAGAGCTGGAGCCAGTGCGGCGCCCTGGGGGAGGAGCCGGCGTCGCTGGGGGCGGGGCTCTGGTCCGGGGGCGGGGCGTCGGCTGCTGGAGACGGGGAGGACTCAGCAGGGTCCCCGCGGCTGGACGCAGCTGGCGACGGCACCCTGGGGCCCTGCGGTGGGCGGCTGGCCTGTGTCCTTGCCTGCAGGCCGCGTGGCCTCGGAGCTGAAAGCACTTGAGACCCCTGCCGGCGACCGTGGCTGCCAGGCCCGTGGGTGCCCCTGTCACCCCCGTCCCCTCGGCCACCGAGGGTGCAGCCGGGCCGCAGCGCTCAGGGCGCTGTTCAGAGGCCGAGTGTCTCCGCCGGCAGCTGGTGCCCCTTGATTGATTGATTGATCAGAGACAGAGATCTTCGTCCACTGGGTCAGCCCCTGGGTGGCCGCAGTGGTCAGGCTGGGCCAAGCAGGTGCCCAGAGCTCCGTCTGGGTCTCCCACAGCCAGTGCAGGGGGCCAGGTGAGACCGCTCTACTTATTAATATTTCTGAACTTAGTAAGTGGTGGGTTCTTGCCATGAATTCACAGAAAAATTCCAAAAACTGGCTCAAATGGACCAGACGCTGTGGTACGTTTTTAAGCTGTTACTCAGTGAGAGAAATGCGTGGGAGAGGGAGGGCTCGCTCTCGAGGAGAAGGGGAAGTCTGGGAACTGGGCTGGGGCTGTACCAAGCGGGGAGCAGGCCACGGGCCACGTGCAGCCAGCGTTTGGTCATCACGGGTAGCAAAGCGAAGGCAGAGGGGGTGGGCGCCCCGAAGGCGCAGGGCAAGGAGGGGACCTAGGGCAGCGAGGAGAAATAAGGGCGGGGCCCACCGTGTTCCAGGCCTTTTATCCGCTTCCAAAGGGGAGTGGCTAACTGGTTTGATCGGCAGGTGGGCGTATAGGTGTGGTCAGGAAAGGGGGGTGAGATCACACAGGGGTGTGGTAAAGGCGTGGCCTTCCAGCTCAAATCCCACCCAATCCCACCTGCCTGCCTACATCACAGGCTCTCGGGGAGCCCTCGGCTGGGTCGGCCCCCCCCAGTTGGCGTCACGGGTGGTGGCTTTATCGTCAGCACCTGGTCTGTCTGCCCTTGGCCAGGCCGGGGCAGGGGTGGGAAGAGCCGACAGCCAGCTCCGGCGGTGCCTGGTCACCTGTGGAGGGGCTCCGGACACTTCCAGGCACACAGGTGGCCCCAAGCCCATGCCCGCCATCCACGGGTGGGACACACAGAAACGTGGGACAAAGAGGAGGCCAGCGCCTGGTGCTGGGGACAGAGGTTGCCCCAGTGCACCATGAGCCCAGACCTGTGGGCCATGGCCAGGCTGGGCGAGGCCAGGAGCTGAGTCCTCCTTGCAGGCCCCCTCCCCCACACACTACCCCTGCAGCCCCCTCCCCTCCCATGGGTCCCAGTGGTTTCCTGAGCTGTGCTGGAGTGGATTTTGTGGATGCACTGCCTGTGGTGGCCTCTGGGACAAGCCCTGGAGGGGGACAGTCACCGTGGGTTCCGGCGGCCGCGTGGGCCTGTGCAGGAGCTGCTGGGGAAGCCGAGGTGGGCAAGAGGGGCCCAGGGACCCCCTGCTCCTAGTGGGTGGCCCTGACTGGTGCAGGCCCCAGGTGCCCCTGGGCAGTGCCGCTCCAGAGTGTGCATTACCAGGAACACACACTGGGCACAGCAGGGGTCAGCCATCTGTGGTCGGGGAGGGTAGTCCTGGCTCGGGACCCTCCACAGGGCCACCCACTGCTGAGCTGT